TAATATTTACATAACTCCACCTAAGAGCCAGCCCATCAGAGTTTGGGGTTCTTGGGAGGAGTATTGAGGCAGCATGCTGTGAAGCACCTAGCTAGCCCCTCTACAGCTACAATCCGCCTGAATTGCATAGAGAAGCACAGAGACTCACTGATGAAGTCACTTCGACTAAACCACTTGCCCTCCAGAGGATTTACCCCCCTTCCTGACCAGGCCATTTTTTGCGTTACGGCACTGCGCTACTTCAACTGACAATTGCGCGGTCATGCAACGCTGCACCCAAATGAAATTTACATCCTTTTTTTCCCCACAAATAGAGCTTTCTTTCGGTGGTATTGATCACCTGTGCATTTTTAATCGAAATCAAATTTTGTCATAAATTTAGGACAAAATGTATTCTGCTGCATGTCTTTGCTAAAAAAAAATCCCAATACGTGTAAATTAATTGGTTTACATGAAAGTTATAGCGTTTACAAATGGCGGTATATATACTGGAATATTTGTTTTTTTTTTACTAGTAATGGCAGCAACACTTTTGGCAATATAGTGTATATGTGTGCATATATATATATATATATATATATATATATATATATATATATATACAGTTGCAAGAAAAAGTATGTGAACCCCTTGGGATTACGTGGAGTTTTGCATGAATTGGGCATAAAATGTGCTCTGAACGTCATCTAAGTCACAACAATAGAAGAACACAGTCTGCTGAACGTAATACTACACAAACATTAGATGTTGCCATGGTTTAATTGCACATAACATGTAAACATTCACAGTGCAGGGAGGAAAAAGTATGTGAGGCCCTAGCTTAATGACTTCTCCCAGAGCTAATTGGAGCCAGGAGTGAACCAACCTTGACTCCAATCAGTGTGATGATATTGGATGTCTTGCTGACAGCTTTCCTGCCCTTAAAAAAAACACACACCTGTTTTGGGTTTACTGGTTTCAAGAAGCACTGTCTGATGTGAACCATGCCTCACAGAAAAGAGCTCTCAGAAGACCTATGATCAAGAATTGTTGACTTGCATGAAGCTGGAAAGGGTTACAAGAGTATCTCCAAAAGCTTTGATGTTCATGTGTCCACGGTAAGACAGACTGTCTACAAATGGAGAAAGTTTAGCACTGTTGCTACTCTCCCTAGGCGTGGTCGTCCTGTAAAAATGACTGCAAGAGCACAGCGCATAATGCTGCATGAGGTAAAGAAGAATCCCAGAGTGTCAGCTAAAGACCTACAGAAATCTCTGGCACATGCTAACATTTTTGTTGACACATCTACAATAAGGAAAACATTAAACAAGAATGGAGTACATGGGAGGACACCACGAGGGAAGCCATTGCTGTCCAAAAACAATATTGCAGCACGTTTGAAGTTTGCAAAAGAGCACCTGGATGTTCCACAGCACTACTGGCAAAATATACTGTGGACAGATGAAACCAAGATTGAGTTGTTTGGGAAGAACACACAACACTATGTGTGGAGAAAAAAAGGCACAGCACACCAACATCAAAACCTCATCCCCACTGTAAAACATGGCGGAGGGAGCATCATGGTTTGGGGCTGCTTTGCTGCCTCAGGGCCTGGACGGATTGTTGTCATTGATGGGAAAATGAATTCCAGAGTTTATCAAGACATTTTGCAGGAAAACAGACGACCATCTGTCCGCCAACTGAAGCTCCGCAGAGGATGGGTGATGCAACAGGACAATGACTCAAAGCATACAAGTAATTCAACAAAACAATGGCTGCAACAGCACAGAATACGCCTTCTGGAGTGGCCCAGTCAGAGTCCTGACCTCAACCCGACTGAAATGCTGTGGCATGTCCTTAAGAGAGCGATTCACACGAGACATCCCAAAAATATTGCTACACTGAAACAGTTTTGTGAAGAGGAGTGGTCCAAAATTACTCCTGATCATTGTGCAGGTCTGATCTGCAACTACAGGAAACGTTTGGTTGAGGTTATTGCTGCCAAAGGAGGGTCAACCAGTTATTAAGTCCAAAGGTTCACATACTTTTTCCTCCCTGCACTGTGAATGTTTACATGTTATGTGCAATTAAACCATGGCAACATCTAATGTTTGTGTGTAGTATTATGTTCAGCAGACTGTGTTCTTCTATTGTTGTGACTTAGATGACGTTCAGAGCACATTTTATGCCCAATTCATGCAAAACTCCACGTAATCCCAAGGGGTTCACATACTTTTTCTTGCAACTGTATATATATATATATATATATATATATATGATTTTATTTCAAAGTTTCTTCTGCTTTTATTGTTATTTATATATATATATATATTATATATATATATGATTTTATTTCAAAGTTTATTCTGCTTTTATTGTTATTTATATATATATATATATATATATATATATATATATATATGATTTTATTTCAAAGTTTATTCTGCTTTTATTTTTATTTATATATATATATGATTTTATTTCAAAGTTTATTCTGCTTTTATTGTTATTTATATATATATATGTATATATATAATTTTATTTCAAAGTCTATTCTGCTTTTATTTTTTATATATATATATATATATATATATATATATATATATATATAACAATAAAAGCAGAATAGACTTTGAAATAAAATTATATATATACATATATATATATAATAACAATAAAAGCAGAATAAACTTTGAAATAAAATCATATATATATATAAATAAAAATAAAAGCAGAATAAACTTTGAAATAAAATCATACATATATATATATATATATATATGATTTTATTTCAAAGTTTATTCTGCTTTTATTGTTATTTTTATATATATATATATATATATATATATATATATATATATATATATATGATTTTATTTCAAAGTTTATTCTGCTTTTATTGTTATTTTTATATATATATATATATATATATATATATATATATATGATTTTATTTCAAAGTTTATTCTGCTTTTATTGTTATTTTTATATATATATATATATATATATATATATATATATATATATAGTGCATATATATACTAAATAATATATTAGATTTCATCATATAGAAGTTTATTCTGCCTTTACTATTATACATACATTATATAATATATACTGTATATATATATATATATATATATATTAATAATTGTAATAAAGGCAGAATAGACCTCAGCGGTAAAGAGTACATGCCACATAGGGAGTGTATTGTTTTTAATAAGTCAGCTGGCTCATAGACTTGCACTGAAAGAAGGAGCAGTAAAGCATAACAATTGCTGGTAAAGCAGAGCCTGCACATGTAATGGATAAATGTGGATGCCGTGTATACATATAGGATTACACAGTGGCTAAATTGTTAGCAGTTCTGCGTGGCAGTACTAGGGTCGTTGGTTCGAATCCCAACCACAGCACCACCTGCCTGGAGTCTGCATGTTCTCCCTGTGCCTACGTGGGTTTCCTCCGCGTACTCCGGTTTCCTCCCACACTCCAAAGACATGCTGGTAAGTTAATTGGCTCCTGTCTAAATTGTCCCTAGTATGTGTATGTATGAATGTGAGTTAGGGACCTTAGATTGTACACCCCTTGAGGGTTAGGGACTGATGTGAATGTACAATATATATAAATTGACGGCACTATAAAAGTATAAATTACAGATTACAATTAACCATCCATCTATATTTAACACATCATTAACAAGACGGCACAGTCCCTTTAATTACGTAGGCCATGCACACCCTAGGCTCGTCTAATGCCTCACTGGCCTACCACGTCTTAGACCCAACAGCAGCAGGCCCCCCTTCCCATTGTTCACACTGGGCTCTGCGCTCCGGCTCTGAATTCACGCGGCGTCTAATCACACGAATCGAGGCGGCACACAAGACTCTCTCTCTCTTTTTTTTTTTTTTCCTCTAAACGATTTGGGGCTTAATACGTTGAAGATGGACAGGAGGCTCTATTGAGCCGGCATCTGGCCCATTCCAAGCCGCAGATAAATCCGTCAAGGCTGAGGAAGGGGAAAAGAAAGGAGCGGATTCCTGCTCCCGATACTGATAAATGGGAGACAATTAAAAGCAGGCTGGAGCCCGGCGAACGGCATTTTTTTTTTTTTTTGGTTGCTGTTGAATTGCATGTTATTAACTTGTTCTTCAGGAAGCGATAAGTAGACCCCGCGTGGCGCTTAAGTACCACTGTGTGCATCTTCTCATTGAACTTGGAACAGCTGCACTTGGCATATGCAGCATGTTAACAGCACTATTATTTCAGGACACTCATTATGCGTGCGCCAAGCCGAAGGGGGGAAAATGTCATGAAATTTATAAAGAGGGAAATCACATGGCCCCGCCCCTGTAATCATCGCCAGCCCTTCTAACCGTAAGAAAACTTCTGTTTATCGGCCTTGTAGCAGTTGGAGGCTGACGAAGTGCCGAGCGGTTAAACAGTACCAGCTTCAAGTGCACCAGAACCCAAGAACAAGCCTAGGACATCCCCGTGCTGCCCTCCATAGATACGGTGGAGGAATAAGTGTAGACGTGAAGGGATCTGGCAGGATCACCAGGTGGATAATAAAATAGTTCTTAAAAATAAAAAAAAGGAAACAAATTTGGCCACCATGTCGAAAGACTGGTAAGCTGCAACATTGGCTCCAAAATTTCAAATTTCTTGGGTGCCCCAGAAACAGCTTGCCCATTAACCCCTTAATGCCTGCAGTCTCTTTATTAATGTTCCTCAACACAGGGGCGGACTGACTATTTGGAAACTTGGGCACTGCCCGAGGGCCCGGGGTCAGTAGGGGGCCCCATGAGATGCCCCTGGTACCTTTTTCAAATTTTGTCAGGGGTCATGTGATCAAGAACCTATCTGATTGGTTAATGATCATCAAAGGAGACCCCAGCTTTCAGTGACAGCTGGAATAAAGAGCCAACGCCTGTGCAAAGGGTCAGCTGCTTGGCCTCAATGGGGACGACATTACCATACCCTTAGCTAGGGGTATCATGCTGAGGCAGGGGCGGACTGACAACTCATGGGGCCACCGGGCAATAGGGGATCATGGGGCCCCTGTGTCCTTGCTTAAACTCAAAAAAGCCTATGAAAAAGGTACCAGGGGCATCTCATGGGGCCAACTACTGACCCCGGGCCCTCGGGCAGTGCCAGAGTTTCCAAACGGTCAGTCCGCCCCTGGTTCTTGATCATGTGACCACTGACATAATGGCCTCATACAGGAACCCCTTAAAGCCTGCAATCTGTTTATTGATGTTCCCCGACATGATGCTCTGCACTTAGGGTATGTTAACAAATGTCATCTCCATTGAATGCAAGCAAATGACACTTTGTGCAGCCGCTGGATCTCAATCCTGGCTGCCACTGAAAGCTGGCATCTCCTTTGACGATTATTAATCAGATTGGTTCCTGTATGTGACCACTGACATAATGGTCACATACAGGAACCCTTTAACACCTGCAAGCTGTTTAGTAAAGCTCCCCGGAATGATGCCCTGTGCTGAGGGGATGTTAATAAATGTCCCCATGGAGAGCAAGCAGCCGTCACTTTGCATAGCCGCTGGGCTCTCAATACCGGCTGTCACTTAAAGTCATGGTTTCTGTTGATGATTGGTAACCAGGGGTGGACTGACCATTTGGAAACTCGGGCACTGCCCAAGGGCCCGGGGTCAGTAGGGGGCCCCATGAGATGCCCCTGGTACCTTTTTCATAGGCTTTTTTGAGTTTGGGCAAGGACACAGGGGCCCCATGATCCCCTATTGCCCGGGGGCCCCATGAGTTGTCAGTCCGCCCCTCTTGGTAACCAATCAGAATGGTTTCCTAATCATGTGACCACTATGTCAGCTCTGACATAATGGTCATATGCAGCCTGGCTCTCAATCCAGCTGTCCGTAAAAGCCAGAGTCTCCACTGATGCTCAGTAACCAGAGTGGTTCTTGATCATGTGACCACTGACATAACAGTAACATGCAGGAACCCTTAATGATCCCTAGCATGATACCCTGTGCAGAGGGAATGTTAACCTGTTTCCCGTATACATATATGTGGCCTCTCGACAGGTGGGCTTTAACCACTTGGCCTCCAGAGGATTTACCCTCCTTCCTGACCAGGCCATTCTTTGCGTTACAGTGCTGCGTTACTTTAACTGACAATTGCACGGTCATGCAACACTGCATCCAAATTAAATTTAAGTCCTTTTTTTCCCACAAATGGAGCTTTCTTTTGGTGGTATTTGATTGCCTGTGCTTTTTTATTTTTTGCGCTATAAACATTAAAAGACCAAAAATTTTGAGAAAAAACAATATTTTTTACTTTTTGCTATTAAAGATGTCCAGTAAAAATTTTTTAAAAAAAAATCTAATTTCATTATAAAATTTAAGCCAAAATGTATTCTGCTCTATGTCTTTGCTAAACTAAAATCCCAATACGTGTATATTAACCTCCCTAGCGGTCTGATTATGTCAGTATTTCTGTGCTCAAATCGGTAAATTTTTTTGCATGGAAATATGTATTTTTTTTGCACGGAAATATGTATTTTTTTTATTGTATGCCTGTAATTTTTAGGAATAACTCACTGAAATCTGTCCGAACAAGAGTCTAGTAAACATCCCGGGTATGTTACAATTTGAAACACGAAATCATAAATTATAATTTAATAAATCATAAAAAATAATAATAAAATTTAATTCAATAATCTAATCAAACCAAAAACACTGAAATTTGAAATAGAGCGCCAAGTTCGCACATCGCTGAGCAAAGTCGCAAAATCGTTTTCAGTGTCTGATGACTAATTTCCCCACAAATCATTATCACTCAATTCTGCAAGTGATTCTAATTTACTATCGCTGTTCTCTAGCTGGTGTAAAACTGCTTTTGACCTAAAGGGACGCTTTTTGGATGCCATGGACGTTTCTCAGTTTCCAGGCAGAAAGAACAGTAAAAATGCAGGCAGGGCACAGGACAAAGCACTCGGGACAAAATGTATGTGAAATGGTTTGATACAGTAATGTTTTACTATGTGATTTTAGTGTATTTAGTGAATGTCACTTTTTCTCATTTTCAAAATTTCCCACCAGTTCCGTACCCTGTACGTCCCGACGTCGCAGGGGACGGAACCCAAAAGACAGATGCCAGCATCCGCCGGAAGACATTGCCGGGGACACTGCAGGAGGGACATCGCAGGAGCGCAGGACAAGGTATGTGCAGAAGAGATCCCGGAGCAACGCTGCATGGTATGCCCGAGTGTAGCTCGGGGTTACCTCTTCTGGTACTGAAACTTTACCCAGAGCTACATTCGGGAATACCGCCAGGGAGGTTAATTGGTTTACGTGAAGGTTATAGCGTCTACAAATGGCGGTATATATACTGCAATTTTATTTTTATACTAGTAATGGCGGCGATCAGCGACTTATTGCGGGATTGCGGAGGGCATTTTGATACTGGGGGGAACTGACTGTCACTGACATCCCCAGTAACACCAATACAGTGATCAGTGCTAAAAAAAAAGCACTGACACTGTACTATTGGCACTGGGCAGGAAGGGGTTACCATCTGGGAAGATGAAAGGGTTAACTGTGTGCCGTTTTACAGTGTAAGCACACTGCTTTTTATGCAGAGCCATACAAAGCAGTGTGCATGAGCTGACAGGGGAGAGATCTGTATTGTTCATGGGGTGTCAGCAATACTCGGCGATCACAGGGTGCCGGCAGGGAATCACCAGCTGGGACCTGGTGATCGATAGCTGAAGCCGCGCTGTAGCGGTATTTCGGGCAGACGGTTAACACAGAGAAGCCGAATATATGCATCCCAAAGGTATAGATTTCTGTACGTCATGCACACTCCCAGCACAGTTATTGGCATGTACCGGAATGCTCCCGATACCTACTTTGTGATCGGAAGCTTTCCAATCATGTGGGCAGCACAATGGCTAAATGGTTAGCACTTCCGCCCGGCAGTACTAGGGTCCTTGGTTCGAATCCCAGCCACGGCACCACCTGCCTGGAGTTTGCATGTTCTCCCTGTGACTGCGTGGGTTTCCTCTGGGTACTCCCGTTTCCTCCCACACTCCAAAGACATGCTGTTAGGTGAATTGGCTCCTGTCTAAATTGTCCCTAGTATGTGTATGTATGAATGTGAGTTAGGGACCTTAGATTGTACACCCCTTGAGGTTAGGGACTGATGTGAATGTACAATATATATGTAAAGTGCTGCGTAAATTGACAGCGCTATATAAGTACCTGATAATATATAATGTAACAAATAATGTAATGTAACCGCTATGACTGCCAATCACAGCGATCACATGATCTAATGCCTGCCTTCCAGCATTTAGAACCTCTTAAAGAGCCGGAAGGTAGCGGCAAGAAGGGGTTAATAAATGTCCCCATTGAGAGCAAGCGGCAACACTTTGCATAGCTGCTGGCTCCCAATGCCAGCTGTCACTTAAATGGCTTTAAGTTGATGATTGGTAGCCAATCAGAGTGGTTCCTAATCATTCTCAGCCCTAATGAGCAGGGCCCTCTGAATCCTCCTGTATTCATTTGAATTGTACTGTCTGCCCTTATGTTGTAAAGCACTGCGTAAACTGTTGGCGTTATATAAATCCTGTATAATAATAATAGTCATTTACAGTAATCATGCCACCACCATGTCAACTCTGACATATTGGCCATATGCAGGCTGAAGGCAAAAATAAAAGCCTTTAGCATGCAGATGAACACTGGCCACTGCAGGCTGCACTGTTCATCCACAGTACAATTTGTTGACAGTGTAAGCCTGGGTTCACACTGATGCGGTGCGGAATTCGCAGCAATTTCTGTGCGAATTCCGCACAGCATCAGAATTGCACCATGCAGAATAGTGCCCCACCATTGGTGTCAATGGAAGGAATAGTGCCCCATCGTTAGTATCAATGGGAGAAATAGTGCCCCATCATTGGTATCAATGGGTGGAAAAGTACCCCACCATTAGTATCAATAGGAGAAATAGTGCCCCATCATTGGTATCAATGGGAGAAATAGTGCCCCATCATTGGTATCAATGGGAGAAAAGGTGCCCCATCATTGGTATCAATGGGAGAAAAGGTGCCCCATCATTGGTATCAATGGGAGAAATAGTGCCCCATCATTGGTGTCAGTGGGAAAATAGTGCCCCATCATTGGTATCAGTGGGGAAAATAGTGCCCCATCATTGGTGTCATCGTTGGTATCAGTGGTATAAATGGGAAAATAGTGCCCCATCATTGGTGTCAATGAAAGGAATAGTGCCCCATCGTTAGTATCAATGAAAGAAATAGTGCCCCATCATCATAGAATAGTATAAATCAGTGGGAGAAATAGTGCCCTATCATTGGTATCAGTGAAAGGAATAGTGCCCCATCATTGTTATCAGTGGGAGGAATAGTGCCCCATTATTGTTATCAGTAGGAGGAATAGTGGCCCATCATTGGTATCAGTGGAAAGAATAGTGCCCCATCATTGGTATCAGTGGGAGGAATAGTCCCCCATCATTGGTATCAGTGGGAGGAATAGTGCCCCATCATTGGTATCAGTGGAAGGAATAGTGCCCCATCATTGTTATCAGTGGGAGGAATAGTGCCCCATCATTGGTATCAGTGGGAGGAATAGTGCCCCATCATTGTATCAGTGGGAGGAATAGTGCCCCATCATAGTGTTATCAGTGGGAGGAAATAGTGCCCCATCATTGTTATCAGAAAAGTGGAGGAATAGGAGAAATAGTGCCCCATCATCAATGGTATCAGTGGAAGGAATAGTGCCCCATCATTGGTGTCATTGGTGGGAGGAATAGTGCCCCATCATTGTTATCAGTGGGAGGAATAGTGCCCCATCACTGGTGTCAATGGGAGAAATAGTGCCCCATTCTTGGTATCAATGGGAGAAATAGTGCCCCATCATTGTGCCCCATATTGTCAATAGGAGGAATAGTGCCTCACCATTGGTGTTAATGAAAGGAATAGTGCCCCATTGTTAGTATCAATGGGAGAAATAGTGCCCCATCATTGGTATCAATAGGAGGAAAAGTGCCCCATCATTAGTATCAATAGGAGAAATAATGTTCCATCATTGGTATCAATGAGAGAAATTATGCCCCATCATTGGTATCAAGGGGAGAAATAGTGCCCTATCATTATCAGTGGGAGAAATAGTGCCCCGTCATTGGTATCAGTGGGAGGAATAGTGCCCCATCATTGTTATCAGTGGGAGGAATTGTGCCCCATCATCAGTGGGAGGAATTGTGTCATTGTTATCAATGGGAAAAATAGTGCCCCATCGTTGGTATCAATGGAA